GTATATTTATAACGCGGCTGAAGTTTTTATGCAGCTTTGATCAGCAAAAAATAAACAAAGCTCTTCAGGCTGAAAACGTATTCCGGCACAAACATGTAGGTATAATTAGAGTGGGTTGTCACGCGACAAGGGAATTAAAAAAAACTGGCTAGGCTTCGGGTTACATTAGCTAATAATTGCGGTATGCAGGTAGAGGATGTTATTGATACACTCGAGGCCGAAACATCCAAAAAGGGATTTCTGACTATCATTTTTTCATAGGGAAAATAATAAAAACATTGAGTGCCCAACAGGATCTTTATTGAGTAAAAATCATCCTACTGTCAAATTTCACGCCTCCAGCTTCTTGCTGCTTGATCACATTTCTTCCAATGTTATAAGGGTAAATTACGATTTGTTATTTTTGACACCTTGCATTTAGCGATATATAAATGCAGCTTATTCAGTTGACACCAATTTTTCAGCTTGGATAATTGATACTATAAGTACTCACAATCAGTGAGAATAATATCAAATCATCGGCCAATGTTAATGCACTACGTATATCGTTAACAGAGAGCAAAAAGAGCAATGGTTCCAAATTCCGATCCTTCGATACCCCTGAAGATGCTGTATAGCGAAAAGACTCTAGGCCATTATATGATATGGCGCATCGAAAACGAAACTACTGAACTCAAGCTCATGTATTTAATATCATTATAAAGGGAACTGAAAGACCTTTAAAATAAGGTATCACTGGACCCCCCTTTCCATTTAAGATTTTAGGGTTGGTGTCACCCCCGCCCAGGGGGCTGCACGTGTTAACGTGATTTTTTGCCAAACTTGTGTCTCCGTCGAAAACAAAATCGACGGGTCTGAGCGTTTTTCCAAAAAAAAATGACCTGCCAGTAAATGCGTCTGTTTCGTTTTCGATGCGCCACCCTGTATAATCACGTGGGTTGGATGACCTTTAACGTAAGGTTGCCGGACAGTGATTAGAGACAAACTTGACCAAAATATTGCAAAAAAGTATTTGAACAAATTAAGATAAATGACGATTTTTCTAATTTTCTCGAAAACGAACCTACTGATTTCGAAAAATCAAACGTCAAACTTCGAAAGGCCTTTCGAACAAGCAATTACATGATCCCCTTGTTTTTTAATTTTTTAATGGGATGACCTTGGCGGCAGAGGGTGAAAGCGGGTAAAGTAGTTTTTGGTTAAAAAGTTGTCTCCCTTGACAAATCCGTATAACTGAATCGGTGTCACTGTATAATAAAATGGATCTAGCCGAATCCAAGGTACATTCTACTCCTACTCAAACTTATTGCTTCGTAATATCCACCCCTGTTCGATATTTGTCAATGCCAATATTATCTCACGCAACTGTTGTACAGTACATACGTGAGGTGCAAACTGGATTAAGCCACGTGCTCTAGACATGCTCACTTAAACAAACAGACACATGCACATGCCCGGTGAAGGACCAAGCGGAATGTTTGGCACGTACCGACGGTATACAGGGTGTTTCATTAACAATAGGGAATATGCAAAGATAATGTTCATTAGATATATAATAATACAATGTTAAGAAACCCTGTGAGGTCAGCTGAATTTGACATGAAGGATGCTCATATCTTTGTCCTTTGAAGCATGGATTCCCAAAAGTCTGATATTACAACCAGTTGGAATGTAAAATTCGAGGTAAGCGAAGTATTGGTACAAGAAGGTCTTGGTTAAAGAATCTCAGAAAATCGTTTGGTTCGTTTTTAGCGTTTGCATGAATAATTCCCACAAAAAAAACTCAAGCGGGGTTAGATTACTCGCGCATCTTGTGGCACTTGTCCATATCTTGCTTAAAAAACGTAGTTGTGCCCATACATTGTCCATATTTTATGTCCATCGTGATTGTAGTGAAAAAATGAGAGCGACTTACATAAAACATTCCATAATTGACACATGTCTGAATCAAGCCATCGAAAAAACGTCGCTTACTTTATGACGCGATTAGAATAACCCACTTAACACAAGCGTCTCCCTCTGTATTTATCCTGTGTGCCTTCTGGCCAGTTAACTTTGTTGACGTGCAACATGCATGTGCATACACAGCCCCGTTTGTCCATCCGCTTTCCTTTGTTAGCCTAATGGAGTTTGCAAAGCGGAAGTCCACTGTTGCGCTTGCTATTTTATTGTTTGTATGCTAATATGTATTTCTGATCCTGGCTGGAACAAATAAGAAGCCAGGTCCCCGAGAAAATTGGGAAATGCTACATAAACGTGTAACAGGACGAAGCATGAATGAATTAATAAAGAAATTAGAGGCACAATGATGAGCAGGCGCAAAGGCCCTCATGTACCACAACATTTCTAACGCCACAAGCTTCGTTCTTCTAGCTAAGTTGATTACAGCCCTGAGTCCCAGTTCCTTAGAGATCCAAAGTGCTGGCTCCAGTATAGACTGGCTGAGAGCCTCACATGCACCGAGGACTCTTCCTCTACCCCTTAGCGCTCACACATGGGACTCTCAGTAACTCCCATCACATGCATGTGACGCCTCTTCGTGTCCCATCAACAACCTGAGGTTAGGTCTATGAGTGCCTGTACCTGACGGAGATGTCTAGAGATGCTTCTCCATTTCTGAAAGTGTTGTTTAGAAATACACTTCTCCATTTCCCTTCTGACTCTTCGCGCGCGCACCCCCTAGGGCTGGCTCAGAACCAACAAACTTGATCCAATACAAGTCACGAAGAAATCTATCTTGCAGCCACTTAGTGCATTCATCGCAGCCTGGCTATCGGAGAAGATTGCTTTGTTCTCCTAGGTCCTATCCATTCCAAAATGCCTCAAAGCATACAAAACATCTGAAACGTTTAGAAAACTTTGTCTCATCCTGATGACATTCGCGGAGCGACGAATCTTGTTCATGAAGTAAGAAATGCTCTCCATGAATTCCGCAATGAGCAATGGAACGATTTTCTGGCGGGGATGCTTGACTCAAGTACTCCTCTGGAAAGTGACGAAGTCGCTCAGAAACGGAAAGCGAGAACGACTCCCGCACATCCACGGTCCTGCGGGCATAGTCTTCAGGACAGAGGACACGGTCGAGGTTTTCGCTGATGCTATGGAACGACAGTTCTCTTCCAACTATGATCTTGATGATGATCTCGACGAGGAGCAACAAATTGTAAGATCCGTCAGGAGATATTTTAAGGCCACCTCATCGTGTCCCTCTAACGACCTGAGGTTGTCTCTATGAGTTCCTGAGAACGTTTTTTGTTGACGCATTCTTTATGGCCTTTACAACTGTGTAAAGCGTTACCAAGAATTATCGTCGCCAGAGTCATGAAACGTCAGGTGCCGTTTTTCTAGCTCGTGAAAGCCGAAATAGATCCTTGTAGCGATAGGGATTGAAAATATGAGCCACGAAAGGCGCACACGTGAAACCGGATGACAAATGGGTCGCGATCGGGCGACGATAGCAAAAAAGTGAGCGACAACCAACAAAAATGAATTAGGTCTGCCACGAGCGAAATTAGCGTCGGTCTTTTGTGAGACAAAGCGGGAATTGGGGAGATAAACATGATGAGCGCTGGTTTCGCAAAAACTCGTCTGCGAAGTTTGCGAAAAAAGCTGAGAGATTGAAAAGGCTCGGTGGAGAAGGTTTTTTATTCGAGACTTATTAAAATTGATCTTATAACTTTTAGTACAAGTTATTGTGTATAACTGAATCGGTGTCGTAATATACTAACCAGGGCATGCAGTGATTTTTAAAAAGGTTTCTCCTACTTTTTTTTGAACGGGTTAGCTAGGTGAAATATGGCGTAATGGAATCGATGCATGAAAACAATTAATCAGCGTAAGAGTGCAAGTTGGAAATTTCAAATATGCAAAATCTGCCTACTATTTTAAATTATATGTTTAATTTTTTTGTCTACCACAGAACGGAGAAGGTGTACGTGCTTAAGGTGATATGTCATTTATGTTTGCAAGCATATGTTATATTTCACTATAAAATGATATAAACTCATCGGGGGGCGCTTCAATTGACAATTTTCTCAAATGTTCCCTTTATCTCTAAAACGCTGTAACTGACTTAGAAACGAATTTCAATATGTGATTTATTACCGATTGGCTGGAGCACTGTCATTTTTATATTGAAATATAGAAGTTATGCATCAACTTGACTCATCCAAAACATAAATAGGGGGATCTGTATGCAATACAAAATATCTGAATGGTAAGTTCTTCAACTATATCCAACATTTTTTTCTGTCCAAGTCCAAGATTAGAAAAGTTGGCAAACTGCCTTGCAATTTGAGTCTAAGCGTCTTTGTTTCGATTTTAACTAAAGTCTCGATAAATAACGTTTGATGATGATATTATGTTCAAGGCAGCTACAAATTCTATTGACAAAGTAACGTATTCTGCTTATCTATTATGCCGAGGTCTGAAAATTACATCCTTCTTGATGTTACCTCCGTGAGAAGTCGCTCCGTGCCTCGCGAGACACATAAATACTTAATCCAACCTCTTGCAATCTAAAGCACTGCAGTAAATGTTAAAACTCATTATAACCAAACGTAACAAGTTATAAAAAATTCATTTTATAACAGGTTGTAAAAGCAAAAATGCAACAAGCTAGGTCAATCAATTTTTATAGTGGAATGCTTTTTAAAGTGGATAAAAATAGCTCTTCTTCGAGGTAAAATTTTCCATTGTGTGTTTTAAGGTACTTTTTCCTTTCTTTTTATATGAACAGCTATTCTGAAAGAGAAATAAATAATCTGGTAATGTAATGGGTTGAAACTTATTTTGCGAGTATTATCAACATCTTACAACTTCATTTCGAGACGATAAGCGAGGTTGACATGTCTGGTAAATACAAAACAGACAATTTCATTCTCGCTTATGGTTTTATTAGGGTCGCGTTAGCCTTAGAATATCACGTCACGGTCTATAAACGACCTCTTTACGCCCTGGATATCTGAGTGACTATAACCGACAATTTTCATTTGTTTCAGTTGACATTGAGATGACAGAAGGACCAGTAGAAGCAGTAGCCGATGAAATGTCATCTGCCCGGTGGTATCTGTCGTCTACGATCTGCCTAGCGCTGTCACTTTTGACATTAACCTATCTCTAAAAAGATACGATGAACTGGGAAAAGTAAGATGATCGAGTTATGAAAGAGATAAGTGTAAACTGCTTTGTGATTCCTGTATGTGATATTCAAACAGTAGTGATGCTTTGTATATGATAAAGCTAGCTTCTACAAGGCCACCTTAATTTTCATTAAAAAATCAATAGTGAATGCAAAATACGTAATTTTGAAGGATCAATAGCTCAATGGACCCATCTTCATTTTTCTAGGAGAGTTTAAGTCAAAATTATATATTCGAATGACTTTTTTTTCAAATGCCACTTGTGAAGTGCTGTGAATTTAATGATTTGAGTTAAGGTACAAAATGTTGACCGATATCACATATAGGTAATGGCAGAAAATGTGTGTGTACATATAAAAAGAATATTAGTCAAACGAGAGAATATAATAGTCCAACTGATATGACTATATAAGTATAGTTAGCGAAATGATTTATCTATTTTTTACGAATCTTTTTTATAAACAAAGGTGCTGCTGCATTATATTTAATCTGTAAGTACGCGTATTTTTATACCTTGATTTCCCATCATTTTTTCCCGAAACATGGCTGAAATTACTTAAATTTAAATGTCTGTTATGTTACAGTCCTTGAGCCCAAATTTTGATTAACTACAAAACTGGAAGAATGCTTTCAAAACGAACGAATGGTCAGTATATAACCTATTTGTTCCTCCGATAAAACGATTTAGACCAAATTTAGATCTATTTAATTATCCACCTTCCTTTCAAAGACGGGTAATTTGAATAATTTCAACTTACAAATACTAATCCGCATCTTTTGTTGAGGAACTAGTAGATATAACTTAACTATTCCTTTGTTATTCCTCATTATGCTCAAAAGCCTTATCATTTGTTAAGTACTTGTTATAATTTGCTACGTTGTGTAGATACGTCTTATCTTCATTTTGATGTGAAATCCAATATTATGCTCTCAAATATTTTATAGAAATAGCACAAGGACATTCTACGTTCTTGCCGTAATTGGTGTTTCTTCCATCGTTTCCGAAAATTCAGTGAATCGCAAGATAACTGCACTGAATTTCTAAATTCATCGCTACAATCTCATATTTCCATTTTGAACGCCACGTTATTCAATGTCAATATTGAAAATCTAGTTTCGGAGCACAAAATCGTTCAGTTGTTCTGTCGCACATATTTTTTAAAAAAAAATTCCGCACTCAGTGTGACTATAGATGTTAAAAGTGGACACTTTTTTACGATGTCTATCTCAAGATTAGAGTGTTTACGTTTTAAAACTTGTTCTTTTATTCGAAGTTACGGTTCTTAAGGCTACGATATGTACCTGAATGTTTTGATTTAATCCTGAGATGCACAGTTCAGTCTTCAGTGACGAAACTTTGCTAACGCGACGGCAAAAATTAAAAAGTAGTTTAGTAGTAACAGAAGGCTGTTTCTGGATCATTTTGTCCTCAAGAGCTCTGGAAACTGAACTAGTTCGTATTACTTTCTGGAGAGCATAATATTATCTCAGAGTCTTAGCATAACTACAAACAAGCTTCTACATAGTATCAGGGTATTCTTCAGATTTTTCAATAAAACTATTCGTGTTTTCTATGGTTACAAACTGAAAATGAACATTGTACTTATCTGTCAATTGAGATAATATGTAATGTAAATAAAATTACATGTGCCCTATGGATATTATATATTATTAAATGTATGACATGCACTCGTTATGATGCGTTAATTAATGCTCATTTTTTGTGAGATTTCCGAAAACATTGTCCACCGCATACGCATTTTTTGAAGTACGTGATTCTAATAAAATCAAACGAACTTACCTACTTGTGGAAACGTCTCGTCGAAGTAAATACTACTTGTAGTACCCTCGTATCTCACCGAACCCACGAGTTCAAAGCGCGGCCAGCGAGCAGGCTTTGAACTCGCGGGTTCGGTGTGATACGAGGGTACTACAAGTAGTTCTTGATGTTACGTTAATACCTTGGCGATGTGTTAGTCTCAGATTTAACATACCACAAAATGTCTATTGTTGAATTTTAATTCCAGGGGTCAATCGTAAAATCGCCGCGTTATCAAATAGACATTAGTATCTGTAAAGGTCGATTGATTATTCTCAAATCGGCTGCTAAAGATAATACCAAGCACGCCATCCTCAAGTCCCCCGTGCTCCCTAATTTTAATATATCGTGTTGTAAATTAGAACCGCGGCAGCGCAAGTACGACGCGGAGGTTTTTTCATGGTTTTTCCTTTATATTTATCCTTGCGGAAAAAATGAGGGCGACCTTACTTACAGCTAATCCATATTTATGACCCAACATGCGCTTTAAAAATGCAAGGAAGATTAACAGGCTTATACGGATATCCTGCAGCACCTTTTTAATCCTCTGGAGGAAAATAAAAAGTACGCGTTGCCTTGGAAATGCTGCAGACGATTGGAGATAAAACTATTTGGCCTTGAAAATATTTTATGGATATCTAATAGCAGCTGTATAGTTTGCTGCTGAAGAATCGGGTTGTGGATGGTATTTAGGTATGAAATAAGATACATGAAATTTAACATTTAACTGACACCATAAATGTACGAAAACTGAGTGCTTCTTTATCACCAAAGAATACACGCAGCCACCACAAACACTTAACAGAAAAACATGACCATTTTATCGCTTGTTATTCATGGCAAGATAAACCGATATCTAAAAAATCAGTATATGTATTATAAAATTCTGTTATAACGCAATGCTACTTTCAACCATCAACATGGTAACATACACATAGAAATGGAATATAGTAGCACAGACATTACCCAGAATAAAGTTTCAACTTGCATCGAAGTCACACTCAAAATGCTTCAACAACATTTATATTACGTTCGAGATAATTTTGGCAATAATGACATCATATCATCTCTCACTGAAGTGCCTCATTCAAGATCGCTATATTATTAGGAAATTAGTAAATAACGTATATAGTATATTGTAGAGATTTAAGGCTTGTTTAATAGTGATTATTCATTTAAAAGAAATATTCGAAAATGGTGAACAAATGAATCAAATACAGTAAAAATAATTCATTAATGTTATACCCTGAATATAGAATATTAAAGTTGTTGTGTGACAATGTTTTCAGAAATAACGCTCTTTTTTCTAATCAAATAGGCTCAATCCTCAAGAAATCTTCGAAAAGATTCCAATAAGTTTTTGGACTGTTTAAAGCATAATTTGTTGCAGTTACTAAAGAAAAATTAAAAAATGTTTAGGTAAAGAAGAGTCACAGTATGGTCGATATGACATATGATTCTTTTTGAAAAATAAATATTCCCGAACACTGTGGCTTCTACCTGACTAAGCTACAGTTTTTCCTCAGTAACTAGTAACAAATTGAACGATTTTCACTTTTTAGTTTTCCTGTTTCTATTTTTGGTTTTGTTTAATTGCAAAGACACATATAAATGTTTATTGTTGCTGTTGATCGCATGCTGATTTGAACATTGATTGCTAACCTTGATTGCCATAAATGATCAAAACGTTTATTCTATGAAGTTTGCGTCAATGTTGAAAGCAACTTGTCTATTTCATTATATATATTATATACGAATTAAATGTTTGTTTGATAGTATAAGGATTATAATGAAACAAGAAATGATACTATTCAAATTCACATTACAGTAAAAATGTGATGGGATGTATGTATGAATTTATACACAATCACTTTATGAGTATAACATAATATGAGTAACATAAAACAATCATTTTCGAAAATGTACGGTCACAGTTGCTCTTTCGGTCGCGTAGACGGAAACAGCGTGTGAAAAAATTATATGCAGTTATAAAATCCAAATTGAAAATTTTATATATTGTATTCAAGAGTATAGTCGAGTGAGGTAGCTCGTCGCTGAGTTCTAGGCCTGCCAGACGAACCATCAAGGCCCCTTAAGTTTATTCATGTACTGAGTTTAGTCACTGTTGAGAAGAAATAGTACAGAATTATTTGAAAACTGCTAAGTATCGTTATAGAAAAGAATAAAAGTAAGTATTACAACCTGTTACCTGTTTGTTTGGGTATTATCATGTAACTAATATACAGGGTGTTCATTTAAAAACTTCCCACCCCGCATTTATCAAAAGCCACTGATTAAAAAGAAAAACGCCGAGACGCGTCAAAGGATTTGTCAAAGGGGACAACTTCTTAACCAAAAACTACTTCACCCCCTTTCACCCTCAACCAAACCCCCACCCCACCCCTCACCCCACCCCTCACCCCACCCCTCACCTCACCCCACCCCTCACCCGCCATTGGCCAAACAATGTTATAGGTGATGATCAAAGTCCTGAGGGACATTTTCTGATACCATGGCAGCTTCCGATGATGTATAACTGAGTCGGTATCACTATACAGCATCGAAGCACTACAAAAAGCGAACATAAACCTGTACATATTACGAACGTTACCGAAAATTTATTTACAATTCATAATAAAATTGTTAATCACTTGTTCAAACCGAAAGTATGATACAACCTCCCAAAAGTGTTTGCTGATTAAAACCCCCATTTGAATGTTTGTTAAATATTTATCGAGCTAATGAAATACCAATTAATGCATGACTGGCGAAGATTGATTAGCGATGGACTGATTGTAATATTGATTTTTCCGCTTGGTATGATTTAATTTTCGTGTTGCGTGATATTATTGGGATATTATACAACATTGTATTTGAGCAACAAGGTTTCAATTAGAGCATATTGACATAGTAAGAAATTATTTTTTGACGGACATGATAGTAATAAGATTTTAAATACTACACGGAATCAGCATAATTCTTTGAGAAAAAACGATTATTTATTTGATGCTTTACGACTACTGTATAAATGTACTGTATGGACCACACTTTTCACAGATAAATCAATCTTTAGCAGGGTATTTTTCTTACAACATTTTGAAGTAGAACGTTTACATAATGCGACAATCATAAAAAAACTCAAAAAAAATACCATAAACAGAATTAATCATGTTCGTGTTTATTGTTCTGCAAAAATTTAAGCATTGCTACGATTTGAATACTTTATTTCACCATCTGGTTCTGCTTCTACAGAGCTGAATTTTGCAACTGTTAGTCAATAAACTAGTCAATAACATGCGTGAATGCATTTTTTCTCTTTTTAAACGGGAGCAAATAGTTTTGATGTGAAAGAAAAAGCAACTGTGTACGTACAATAACACATGATTAACTTTATGCTCTGTTGTTCTAAGTGAATAATTTATTAACTAGGTTGATGTGCATGTATATAAAACGATATACGTTAGAGTTAGGATACTGAACGCTATTGTAGATTACCATTGTAACAGAAGTTGATTTTTATTTGAAAAATAAATACAAGATGTTCCCTAAACGCAGAAAAAACACTGCACGGGTTGATTTGTGCACTGTTCTAATACGTTGCTTTCAAACGAAAAGAGTTTTCCACGCACATGTAGACAAATAGAAAAAACGAAACCAGTAAAAAGTAAGTAAGACTAATTAAATATGGTTAAAATTTATTTCTTACATAGAAATATTAAAATGTATTTACAAATGTATATTTCACATATGGTATTCTACAATTGCAATATTTTGAAGTACCTCAAGCTTAATTGTATTATACACTATTTTTTAATTTTTTTCAATCAATATTTATACTCAAACATTTAATTGTCTCATCTTTTTAAATTATTTGAGAACTGTGATAGTATTCTTCATTTAACTACTCTCCTATTAGTAAACATTTTATTTTAGAAGCATTAAATTTTCATTCAACCAATTTATGATTCTTGCCAAATCGGAATTCAGCATCTTTAAAGCAGTATCTATAGTATATGTATCATCTGCAAATATCTGAATTTTACAATAATCTAAAATATTAAAAATGTCATCAATATACGAAATAAACAGTAGTGGTCCCAGATTACTACCTTGCGGTATACCAAGAGAAATATTTTTTGAGCTGATCCAATTTTGGTTTTTTGACTTCTGTAGAATAGAAATTGTAAATGAACGTCCAAATACATCATAGAGGCATTGTTGATTGCAGTTTTCGTAATAGTCATTAAGGAACCCGAAGGTTTGCAATATAAAAGGTAAATGTCCACACGAGAATTGCTGAACGTACCATTGTCTGTAATTCCGCGTTAAATGGCTCGAAAACAAATAAAAATTTATTCGAATCGTCCCACAGTTCTCATCTGTTTTCTATTTTATAGACAATTTGCTCGCCTGGGGTACTTCAAAAGTGCATTTCTCTCCGAAAGTTTCCATAGCAGTTTATGAAATGCTTAAGCGAATTTCCAACTAGCTATAAAACTGCGACAAAAATAAAGTGCGCAATCATTAAAACTTTTTTAATTATTTTACTATACTGGGCGGATGCAGCTATATAGACCAGGAATATTAGAAACTACGGCTACAGAATAATCTAGTCACTCTACCTGAGAGCATTGTCTACAATTTAGTGCAGGAAATATATTTCTTGCACTATGTCGAGAAATGAATCGCCTCTTTACTAAAATTTTCTTTTTTCTTTTATAGGCTAAAAATACGTATCGGATCACTAAGAACTTTTCTCCAAAGCTAACATTTTCAGAGATATAAGCGATAACATTTGGAAAATTGCTTAATATGTCCTGTTGGAATCTGAAAAAATCCACTAGCAAATTCCGGAGTCCTTTTTGACTCGCAAAGCATTTTTCTAAGCAGATGCGAAAATATTTCCTGGACTATACATACAACTATGAGTTGCAGTATACCAAAACAGTATACGACAGTTTAGTAATTTGATTCTCTTATTGATTATAAATCGTTGTCACTTCAACGTTATTCCTGACGTATTTTACTATGACTTGTATAAAAAAATACTCAAACACTGTTATCTCGAAATAAATGGCCAACAAACTGCTACGGAAATACTGGATATTTATTCTCCTTTTTTCGGTCTGTGTTATATTCTACACAGGAAATAAAACATGTATGGTGCATTACAAAATTACCGTAAATAAGTTGCTACTGGAGACGATTATCTACAAAGCCTATACGGCGACCAGTCTAGGAAAAAATTATTTATACATGTTTTATTTTCCAAAAAAAGACAGCTATACAACCTCATCTGTTCGAGAGCAACTGAGTTCTAAATATAAATATATAGCTTTATATCTACTGTTGTTAGAACAGTCTGTAGGCTGGATTTGGCCAAAAATGTCTTCCTTAAGAAAAAGCTACTGTCTATTTGTAATTTTAAGGGAGCAACATTGACACTCGTGCTAGGTTATTTTAAATACCTGACAATTTAGCTGACCCGAAAATGTGGAAATTGTACAAAAAAATTATTGTTTCGAGTCAAAATTCTTTTGAAAATCCGTAAAAATGACTTCTACTGAAATTATATCTATATTACCGGCCATTTCTAGCAAAATGCAAGTCAGTCTTTTTGTACATTTCCAAATAATTTTTGCACAATTTCCAACGACAAAGGATCTTGTATGTTCGTACGAATTTATGGAAAGAATGAAATCCTGAACTTTTGTGCATGTTTTATGTGAAAATATAGTCCAAGAAAGCTAAAAAAAAAAACACTACGGCTGACAGCTGTCAGAAATTATACATAAACTATTAGAAATGTTTTAGATAGCCACCTTTACTGGACTATATCAGGCTCTATGATCTATGCGCAATCACTTGTATGAATTTGACATCCAAAGTAAACAATAATTTTCACTTGAACGATAAGGGAAATTAACCAAAAAATTACCAACCTGTTTATTGTTTAACCATGACTAGATGACCCGATTTTCTTTTCCTCGGGGAATTTTCAAACAAATTTTTTGGACGTCTCCCGAATTTGTTTAAACAACATTTTTAACAAATTTCACAATAAATTGGTCTATTTGTTTTCTCTCAGTGGAATATGTCCTTAATAATTTTTTGCCTAATCAAAATCCGAAAAGTGAAAATAAAGACCTCGCTATAATGATGATCTTTAAAACAATTGATCGCTTTTCTCGATAACAATAAAAAATGCCCGAGCTATGAAAATAATTGTCGTTCTTCAAATTCGTAGGAGTGACGTCATAGATCCGGTGTATGTATACATATTGTAATTTAATCCTGGAGTTTGTGTTGTTAAATTTACCCGTAAATGTGTGAGATAGATGTGTTTAATGTAATTTGGCAACACATCTTTGATGCTGAGTGTTTCGTCAGAAAGAGAAAGAAATAAACTAAATTGTATAGATGTCTTTTTTACTTCATCCCATTTGCTCCTAAGTCTTTTATTGTAGGGATTTTTTGATATTTTTTTATTAAAAAAAAACATGAAATTATTATACAGGGTGTCACGTTGGGAGTTTATTTTCAGACACAAATACGTTTGAAATGACAGTTAATTTTTACCGAAAACGTAAAAAAGAAATTGAGGAAAGACTGATAAAAAGGATCATGCGCAGAAAGGTATATACCTGTAATAGAAAAAAAATGGAATTTTTTCGCGGATCGGAGGTTATTTTTGAGACAATTCTCTCGTAAATATCGTCAAATAATACACGGGAAAAACTGTGAACTTTATTCGAGAATATGGTGTAACACTGCCTCTATACAAAAATTTTCGTAATTTTTAAAATGTATTGCTTGAAATATCATAAGCTATTTTATAATTACTTACAGTCTAGAATAAGAGCGAAATGTTAACTACGGAAATGGATCACAAGTCTCGATTATTTTTTATATTTAAAACCTTTCAAAAATGAACAAAATTTACGATATATCAGAAACTAAAAGGCAATTACTCAATGGGATTTTAATGAGTCTCAAATACTGTTAGTTTGAAATATTTTCGATCACTTAACATCGCATGCCCCCTTTTTTCAACTGCCTTCTTGGATCAGATTCTAAATCCTTTTCATCTGATTATTCCATGGTAGTAGTAAATAGATTTATTTATCAAGTATGGCTACATAAACAAAATAATTATAAACAACTTGGAATTAGTAAATTCAATATGATGTAAATGCTGGACAAGGTATAATTAATACATTCAAGTGATTCCTCAATTTCACTTTGAATTATGTCAAAGTCTTCTAGTTTTTCATCTCTGTATTTCATTTATTATATTCAATCAACCCCAACAAGTAGATATCTCAAACAAACTTTATCACAACATCTTATCAACAAAACAGGTCAATGCTGGCATATCTTCTAGCTTATTATCACTCATATTTGTCAGACAGGATGCAATATATTGAATAAAATCCAAGGAAATATTTCCTAATTCAGGTATGCTGCAAGGCTCACGCCTGGGTCCGCTGCTTTGCATCACTTTTATTAATGACATCGTTAATAATATCGATTGTCACCGATGAATTTAACAGATGACTTGAAGATTTTTTACGGTTACATTTAGCTGCAACCTCACCGAAAAGTAAGTAATTTGAAAATTTAAATATGTTCTAAATTGGTTGCTATTTTCATAATTGTTTTTTAGCTCCTGAAGATGGAACGTAGTTTGTCGAAAGCTCGGGTTTACCGTCAAAAGAGTTCATTGGACAATTTATTTGATGGAACATATTTTTAGCATATACAAATACTATACTTTAAATGATAAAGTGTGTATAGAGATGACCTAAAAAATAATGTTGTTTTTTTGTAAAAAAATGCAATTTTCTTCAATCTTAGCTTGTTAAAAAATAATAGCACAGCTCTAAAATTGTATGGTGATTATTCCACTTTTATGAAAGAACGAAGCGTGTGATTTCTTGTTTCTTTTAACTTTCTATCTTCTAAAATGCTTTTCTTGAAAACCCAATTTGAAACACCACGAAACAATCAGACCAAAACTATTAAGAACGTTCCTCCAGTAAGGCTGTTGAAAAAAAGGAAAAAGAAACAATAACATATCCAAAATCCTGGAAAGAAAATATTTGCTAAAAAAATAAAATTGAAACTTATATAAAAAAACATATCAAACGACAAAAAACACTCGATTTGACTAGAAAAAAACGCCACTTCACCAACTTGATTACACTTTAAACTTCCTCTTACTCTTCCCCAATTTTTGCTGCCTCGTTTTGTACATGTGAGACATCAATGTGTACATAGCTGGAATCATGATGAAAAGTAGATAGATCCTGAGGAAAGTCGGGAAATGAAAAGTGAAATTTAGAGCGTTGGGCATGGAAAGCGTCCATTTTCCGCTGGCCTCGACGAAAATGAGGTTCCTGAAAACTATCACTGCTTCACAGGTGAAGCCTATGGGATAGAGAATAATCCAGGCGCTGTATCGCAGCCATGTTAGGAGCGAATTCTCTTTTTTGTACAGCTGCGACATGTAGTAAGGATATCTGCAAAATAAAAATAATGACGATTAAGTATCTGAGCTTTGAAAATTGTATATCGAACTGACAATCATTAAGTAAAATAAGGCTATAATCGAAACTTTTAATCTTAAAAAATCGATAAATATATATATCAAGCATATCCCTAATACATAATACTAAATATAACCAATAAAAAATAATCAAATTAAATTAAATTAATTCATATTTAAATAATATTTCATTAACCAAAAATTTATTCATAATATTTATACAACAATAAAAAAGGCTCTTTTAAATTCGAAATAATAAAAATGATTTAAAGATATATTTTAATAAAAAATTTAAATAATATAATATTTTACTCATTAATAAATTATAACATTTTTTATGATAGAAACTTTTAATCTTAAAAAATAAATAAATATATTTCAAGCTTATCCCTGATAATACTAAATATAACCAATAAAAAATAATCAAATTAAATTTTTCTTAATTCATATATAAAATTAATTTTTTTTCTTCAAAAAACTAGATATATTTAAAAACGAATAATATTTCATCACCAAAAATTTATTCATAATATTTATACAACAATAAAAAAAGCTCTTTTAAATTCGAAATAATAGGAATGATTTTAAGATATATTTTAATAAAAAATTTAAATAATATAATATTTAACTCATAAATAAATTATAACATTTTTTTATAATTTCAACATTTGATCTTAAAAAATAAATAAATATGTATTAAGCTTATCCCTAATAATACTAAATATAACCAATAAAAAAATAATCAAATTAAATTTTTCTTAATTCATATTTAAAAATTATTTTTTTTTTCTTAAAAAACTAGATATATTTATAAACGAATAATATTTCATCACCAAAAATTTATTCATAATATTTATACAATAAAAAACACACAAAACGTGTATTTCTTCGGTAGTTTGAGAAACATTTTAGAAAAAATCGACTATTATAATTGGATCTATTACTAGAAAGATGCCTTCTTATTGGACCATTCTTGATACACATCAAGAATTTTGATCTCCTGTTAGTAAAATGAGGCATAAGAGCCCACTATTTAATTTAGTACCAAAAAGAAATTGTCAGTTCGAAATTCACATGTTCTCCTTATAATTTTCTTACCTGATGATTTCTATAGCGGACCAGGCGAGAAACAAGTAAAACGTAACAGGCATTTTCTGTATTCTCGCTTCATTGTCCAACATCAGAAACAGTATGAAAAATCTACCGACTATTTGTAAAAATGGTACGAACGCCCCACCTCTCACATACCCTACCAACGGGTGGAAAATTTCCAGAATCTGTAGAATCTAAAATGCAGAAGACACGTTTTAAAAACCAAAATAAGTCGCGTTTCAACAAAAATTAAGAATTGGGACTGAACGAAAATTTGTAACGATTTAAGTAAAAGCTAGTTTTTTACCTGTAGGTATTTCATAACATGTCCCACTGATTCATATACAGTAGGAAAGAAATCTGTGCCTTCTCTTGCATATCTGATGCACAGCACTGACGTAATGTACATGAAACCCACATACATAAACAGATTGTACAGGGTCAAGTAGACCTTCTTGAAATCCTCTGAAAAAAAGCAAACATTCATCCAACGATCTATTCTTTCACTCGAAAACGTTCTTAAAGCTAAGACGAAATCGGGCATTTACCTTTTCTATACCCATATTCTTCCTTCATCAACTTCTCATACAAATTGGGATAATCATCCCTAATATCCCCAACATCCTCTTCAATAACGTCATCCTCTGACTGCCACTTATCAAAATCGACCTTTAACCACGCAGGTTTCTGAGGCTGAGACGTCAATCTTGGCCACCAACCTTTCTCTGCTTTTCTCAAGGTCAGGTCAATCTTGTAGTCGGAGAGCTTTACGAAGTTGTTCTGAAAAAGTGGAAAAAATCTAACGCGACCATTTATTGATGATATGTGAAAAAATATATTTTTTTTTTGGCTTGTTCTAGACTACACTCGTGTTTTAGTCAGGTCGAGACAGCAAGGTCGCATCGTCTGCAAATAGGAAGCAGGATCCGTTATCAATACTCGACTGCAAGTCATTGATACATATTAGAAATAGCGGGGGGCCGAGTACTGATCCCTGCGGTACTCCGTTGCAAATACTGAAAAGGTCAGAGGCGGTGCCGTCAGAGCTTACATGCTGCTTCCTATTTGACAGATACGAACGAAATAGGAAAATGATTCTGGTCAGAAAGATTCAACAATTGAAACTTTAGAAACGTTGAAAATCCATGAAGCTGTTTGACCTGTATCCCCTGTGAAATAGAATTTTTTTGAACATACATACCGCAAGCAAAAAAATACCCTCAGGTAAAAATGGGAACATTCTTATTTTTTGAAGCATTAGTCAGAGTAAAACCAAAGAATGCAATTAAATAACTCAAAGGGATTCGGTGACATGAAAGTTTAATGCTGGATCACAATAGCCTTGGAAGAGCTCTGACAGTTCACCGCATCTGATCAACAAACTGTCAAATTTGACAGACAAGTTGAAACTGCTGTCAAAGTGACAAAGCTATAGCCATAGCTACTGTGATACAACAGAAAACTGCTGCAGTAGTAGACCATTTAATGTTACCAGAATGCATTCAATTTCTCCCTCAGGAGGCTAGTTATGGATTGTATGGATTTTGACATACAAGGTGTCTGAATGTAACTTGACAGTGCACGTGACACTGACTAAACTAAAATTTCATAAAATCAAAATAACAAATGTTACATTCCTAGGTTTAAAAGTCTGCATTTAATGTCAGTGCCATATGTTTAGTGCATGATTACTTACTCCGTTTTCTTGAACATCACAATGGAAATTCAGCTGAAACTCATAGTCTTGCAGTCCCTGAGCCCCAACTCCTTTGCAAAGAAAATGCAGCCTCTTTCTTTCAATATTAATTTTAGGATCCTAAATACAGAAATGTCAAATGAGTTACTTCCAAAATAGCTTTTTGAAATGAGATAAGTGTAAGTATAATGCATATTTTTAAAATAAAAATCGAATGTATGTGCCAATTTTTACGCCAGAATAATTGTAGTTGTAAGTCAAATTCGGAGCAGAGGTATATCAAGATTGCTGTGAAAAAGATGAATAGGGGTAAAAAGGTGTAGAAGCAGCCAATCAACGATTGTCAAGTTTGACAGCCAAGTGTCAAACTGATCAAGATTGCTACTGCTATCAGAATAAAAACAGATGCTAGATGTAACTGGATGTCTTTACACTCTATAAATAATGAAGTGATCATACTAGCCAGTTCTTTAGATACAATTGAATACAAATAGAGGTCTGAGTCTAACAAACTCAGAGAATAAAGGACATTATAGTAAATTATATAAATAAAAATGAAAGGACTGAAATACTACACATAGTCGGTATATGTATGCCGAAATTACCAAATATATTTTGAGTCTGGGCGGCTATAGACGTTTTTTTAGAAGGAAACTTTCGTGAGGACATCACGTTATCTAGTATCTTATTCCACATACCTGTACATCTTTGAGATCCACCTTTATGAACAAACTGTCCTCGTTTTGAGCCCAATACACAAACGGGCTCAAGACGCTCATTTTCGCTGGAATGTTCTAAGAATGTACACTCAAGCCGTATAAAACATTGATACCCGTAAAGTTCCAAAATACACGCGTTATTTTAACCTAATTGCACAATTACAACAGATAACAAACAAGAGTGGATTAATTTATCAACTTTACTACTATCAACAAACCTCCCTACTAATGTCAATTTGCTGCAGTTGTACAGCTGAGTTGACGTGTATGCAACACATAATACAGACTAGAGATGGGTGAATACTGTATTCGATCATCGATTATGCTGCAGTCGATACAGCTTCAAGGCAGGGTTTCGCAACCTTTTTTGGTTGAGGCTCCCCGTCCCAGAAATTATATTTTCATGCCCCCACATTATATAGGTACAAAGACTTTTATTTTAATTTTAATAAATAAACTAATAAATGTTGAAACTTGAAACCCTTAAAACCAGAGTAGGATGTTGTTGCTTCAAAAATGCCTGTCAAGGCGATTGTGCCTCATGCTATCATTACTCAAAACTTTCATACATATGAGACACTGAGGCAATTGTAAATTGTTTTTTTCTATGAAGGTAAATCCAAACTTAACGTAATCTACGGAAAACTCTCTTGTCTTCGCTGCCATTTTGCACCTATAACAGTAAAACAAATAAGTAATAAATAAATAAGCAAAATACCTACATATAATTACTAATTATACCCCCAATAGTTTATCTGACCCGAGTAAAGATAACATGGCCACGCAAGACAAGTATTAAATATACAATACTAGACTCTAGAAGACTATCCGTAGCCAAATTTTTCTCGAAATCGTTGCACACCGCTTAAAAATGTAAATGAAGATTCTAAACTGGCGCTTTGACGTCATTACCCCGGGATAGACATACGTTTTGACAGCTGACCTTGTCATTCTTGTCACCTAGACTGCTGCGTTGCCAGCTCATCGAGCAATTTTGCTAAAATGTTATCTAAAAAAGAAGCTTTGAATCAAGCATCGAGGGATACGAATGGGAAAATATAAAATTTACGATTCGTTTAGATGAACACATCAGCCAATACAAGCATCAGGGAGGCGCCAAGAAGGTATCAACGTAGCCCCATGTATGCGGTATTACCAAAAACTCAACTCTTGTCAGCGTGTTAGCAGATTTCTGAATTCACTCTTGAGTTCTTCTACCGTCTCATAGACGGCGCTATCGCGTTGAATATCAAGATCACGAACAGACCAAGGGACGATGTTTTCACTTTTGAACAATTTCGATGCTGCTCGATAGTCGAGAATGATATAGAGGTACAAGATCTGGTTATTATAGATCATGATTCTGTTGGTTATTACATTTAAATGAGATGTGGAATAATATTCTATAACAAATCGATGTCACAGCAAAATACTTTATCTTCTGTGACTGGTTTTTCCGATACGTGTATAATATAATAATCAACTAAACCTTGGACAAAGTTTAGTGCTTCTTGTTTACACTGCTGTAATATTTATTTTTATTTGCATTAGAGCTTGCATGACTGTATTGGGATTCGCTACGAATAATTTGTTTAAAAATTCTGTTGGTACTTTTAATTAGATATAACAGGCCACGAAGGCGTACAAATCTATTAAGCTTTACATGAGAAACGAATGGTGAACATTTAAATGGCTAACATGCATCAAGGAACACGATATCATGAATAATTGATATAATTTTCATGTAGCTTCCTTAAGATATCAACAAATATAGGAAATAAATAATTCTCACGAAATGTAATGAAGGTTCTTAGGAAAAAACTAGAGTTGTCTACATACATACAAAGCAGTAATTATCTTAGGCACATCATTTTCTCCAAGGTTTATTTCCCATGCCTAGAGAGGACAAACGTATATACAGAACCACAAGGTTGTTCATAGTAGCAATAGAGCAATTTTTAAATCTTGTCCTGTGGCCTGGGGTTTTCTCGATAATGCATTCCCATGTTTTTCTCGTTAAATTAAGCTATATATGTTGAAGAAAGTCCTACTGAAGTTTAGCTCATATCTCTTGGCATGGGAAAATACATGGGAGATACATTGAAAAATTTGGCGTGCCACAGCTGATCAAGCGCTTTAGTGATATCAAGAGCAACCAATTCTGGTGCACTTTTATCTGCTTAATGTAGTATCTGAGTTCCAGAAGATTGAAATTTCGAATAACCTCTTCATCATCGTCGTCATCATCCTCGTCATCGTCGTCGTCATCATCGTCGTCATCATCGTCCTCGTCATCATTGTCGTTATGATCGGCACAGTTTGTTGTTAGCAGGAAATAGTGTTAGAGATTTATAACTTAGTCAAAGGAATCAATTATAGCTTATTATCGAAAAATAACACTTACATGTGCTTACCCAGAATACATATCTACCTTTACTGAAGCGTTTTCAGTGAAAGCAAGTATGTTGATAAAAAAACTGAGTAGTTTCGATTCAATTTTATTTTTCCAGCTTCAATCAAGCCTTATAAACCAAAACCTCGTAAGGACTGACTCTCAGCATAGCAGTGTTGCTACCGTTCACATAGTAAAATATCACGTGGTCCGCATTGTTCATCAAAATTTTCCCAACGATCTGCTCCTTGCTGGGTAGCGTTCTGCCGATCAGCAGGTCGTGCTTGATCGGCTCTTCCAGATGCAACTGTTGACCTCCCAGGACAGGCTTGCGGTTCGCCAGGTCAAAGAAAATCCGCTCGGGAGTGGTTCTGACCCATTCGACTGATTTTTCAGAGGCGCAGCAAAGGATCTGAAAAAGAGATAACTAATTATAAACGGCACCCCAATTAGGACTTCGGGACTATGTTTAAAAAAACAACACAATTTTAAAAATCTCCTAACGATAGTTTCTCGTATTATTGCAAGGTTCGTTAGCAATCCAGTTTCATTTTCCGTTATTATGCTCGTGTACCAAAACGGAAAAGGGTAGCGGCATTGTCAGCATCAATGTCATTGTCACTGTCATTGTCATTGTCACTGTCACTGTCACTGTCATTCTCACTGTCATTGTCACTGTCATTGTCGCTGTCATTGTCGCTGTCATTGTCGCTGTCATTGTCACTGTCATTGTCATTGTCACTGTCATTAACATTGCCATTATCATTATCGTCGTGTTATGCTACATGAAATCATAAATTATACCTTTGGGTTCTTGGTGATCTGGGTCACGTTTTTGTTACGTACCTTGATATGTGATTGGACAGCTATAGGTCCTCCTACACCTAGGAATTGGGTCTCGGTGAAAGGATTGAGGTTGAAAGGCACCTCAGCGTAAATGGTTTGGTTGAAGGCCACAGTATACACCAGAGCTTGCCCTATGTAAGTAGGTCTCTGTAGCATGTCATGACCTGCTTGTACTGCGTCTGATGGGATTTCTCCGTCCAAGTATTGCCTCCAGTAGCAGTCAAGGTACCATTTCAAATCTAGACGGAACAGAAGGCGGAACTAAAAAAACTGCTGTTTGAAAAATTTGTGGATTTACGTTTGTTAGAGCACCATTAGACGTACAGATACGAAAACCTGAGAGCCCAGGTCGGCTGAATCGGTATGAGCTTTCTAGTGGAATAAGACTACTGGAAATCAAAAGCGCACAAGATTGAAAGGTACGCTGTTTTATATACAGTATATTTCCAGATTCGAACTGATGATACCAGCTTTTTTATTTATGGCATTATGGTAATTGTAATAGTCATAGTAATATTTATTTACTCTAAAATACAGGGAACATGAAACGAGTAAATAAATATAATTTATCCATAGAAGGACAATGCCTATGCATGGATCATATGTATGTTGAATTGCAATGGAGTCAGTACCTTTATCCTCGGTCTAGTATTCAAAAAACAAACATTTATGTCAATTATTTCGCAATGATACTTACCTGACTTTCCTTCCTTATCAAAGGCAAGCCCTGGATCAGCTAAAAATGTCACAGCTAACGCTATCAGTAAGGTGAACTTCATTTTGTTTTGATATAGTGCGAATACCTTATTATCTCATAAATCGGAAGCTTTAAATATAAATAATTATCGAAGATAACAGAAAGATACCTGAATGTCGTCGTATCATTCAAAGCTCATTGAGATCGGGGATTGACAACCTCGTAAGATTTATCGATAAGATTTAAATCAAAATATTCCGTCGCTCCTATTTTTCGCGTGGAGCGTTATTTGTTTTACGCGAATACAAACAATTTACTAAGTTTGAAAATATGCTTGGTACACAAATTAAATCAAAAAGAAAGATTACTTCCTTGATTAACAACATTTATTTTGGTTATGTTCGTTACATGTGCAGGTTACAGCTAAAACGAAAAAACTTTGATAGACTTTGAATCTTATGTAACATTCTTCTCTTAACAGCTAGAATACAGCGTTATCTAGGTACCTTGATCATAGCGTGGTCGTCATATATATCAATCTTAACGTAAATTAAAAAATCGAAAGTTTGGCTTCCTGTCTTTTATTGTACTTTTTCTTTCTTCAAGCGTAGCGCTGCAATCACATTCGTTATTCTGAAACAAGAAGACAGCGTGAACAAACAGCACATCAGAAAAATTGTTTAGATAAAAGCAAGGCACCACCGGTGTCATTTATTTATAGAATAGCAACGATTGATTGGTAATAATATATTTCAGTTCACTTCAACAGCCCCACAAAATACTGCCGCCATCTGTAGTCCTAATACAAGAAGACGAAAATCTTTTGCTTTTCCAGCACAACTATGTCACTTACCTGAGTTTGTGTTTTTCGGAAGAACCCACGTAAATCTGTCCAAACAGGAATACAGCCAACGCAAACTTCATAGCTTCCATCCACACGGTGTCTTGATAGTCATAAGTTTGGCCCAATGCATCTCCAAAGTTACGTGTTGAAGTTGTGTTGTTCGATTCTGTTTTGAAATTGTCATTAGCAATTTTGTTTTCTCTCCTGGGGGAGTCAGAACCAGAAGAAATTGCTCTGAAGGTACTCCTTCTTAATTGTCTTTCTTTTCGCATATCTTCAAAATCTACACGGTCTCTCGAGTTGCGGACTAAGAACGGTTCTCTGACTTGTCTATTTTCATCTGATCGTCTCTCATCGAGCCGGTAGGTCCAGTTCTCTTCACTTATTTTCCTGGTCCGCCTGAAGTGATCTTCAAAGTTCTGCCTCACTACGCGAGTATTGAATCTGTTATCATTTCGGTTATTCCGGATCTTCCTTGTGTAGTCACTGAGTTCTAGAGTTCGGAGATCACGGGTTTCTGGCACCCTGGAATCTTCAAGGGTCATTCTTCGTTCTGGATTTCTCTTACCCAAATTGAGGTCATTATCTCGAACTTGAGATTCCATCCTTAAGTCTGGCTCTCGCCTAGAGTTTCGTCCCCCACGAATCTGCTTAGAGTCTTTAAATGATATTCTTTGCTGTGAGTCCCTTCTGTCAGCGGGATTAAGCCTGTCAACCTGAATCGGAGATTTGATTTCTGAGTCTCGCTGTTGCCTAGTGCTCTTGACCCGGTCTCCAGGAACCCTGGATTCTCCAGAGGATAATCTTCCTCTTGAGTCTCGTCTTTCAACAAGATTAAGCCTCTCATTTCGAACTCGAGAACTGATCCTTGAGTCTCGTTCCTGCCTAAAGTCCCTGACTCGATCTTCATGGATCTCTTCAGGCACCCTGAAACCTTCAACGGACACTCTTCGTTGAGTATCCCTCCTATCAGCAAGATTTTGCCTCACATCTCGAACCCGAGATTGTATCCTTGAGTCCCTTTCTTCCGTAGACTTTCTGTAACGGTCATCACGAGTTTCTTCAGATACCCTGGATTCTTCAAAGGTCGTTGTTCGTTGGTCTCTTCCATCAGCAAGATTGAGCCTTTCATCTCGAATTCTAGATTCGATCCTTGAGTCTCGTTCCTGCCTATAGTCCCTGGCTCGATCTTCACGGATCTCTTCAGGCACCCTGGAATCTTCAACGGACATGCCTCGTTGCGAGTCTCTACTTTCATCAAGCTGAAGCCTCACATCTCGAACCCGAGAACAATCTCGGATCCTTGAATCTCGTTTCTGCCTAAACTCACTGACTGTGTCTTCACGGATCTCTTCAGGCACCACGAAACCTCCAACGGATACTCTTCGTTGCGTGTTTCTCCTATCAGCAAGGTTTTGCCTCATGTTTCGAACCCGAGATTGTATTCTTGAGTCCCTTTCTTCCGTAGGATCCCTGAAAAGGTCATAACGAGTTCCTTCAGATACCCTGGATTCTCCAAAGGACGTTCTTCGTTGCATATTTATCCTATCAGCAAGATTGAGCCTCTCATTTCGAACTCCAAATTCGATGCTTGAGTCTCGTTCCTGCCTAGAATCCCTAAGACGATCTCCACGAATTTCTTCAGACATCCTGGAATCCTCGTCAGACACTCTTCGTTGTGGGTCTCTCCTATCAACAGAACTCAGGCGTTCATCTCGGACCCGAGATTCTAACTTTGACGTTCGTTCCTGTTTAGATTTCATGTAGCGGTCTTCACGAGTTTCTTCAGCAATCCAAGAATCTCCAAAAGACATTCTTCGTTGTGAGTCGGTCCTATCAATAAGATTAAGTCTCTCACGCTGAACTTGAGATTCGATCCTGGATTCTCGTTCTTGCCTGGAGTTCGTGACGCGTTCTTCACGAATTTCTTCAGGCACCCTAGAATCTTCAAAGGTCGTTCTTCGCTGTGAGTTTCTCCTGTCAGCGGTAATGACTATCTCTTCGGGAAACCGAGATTTGATCTTCGTGTCTCGTTCTGGCCTAGAGCTTCTCTCACGGTCTTCACGAATTACCCTGTAATCTTCGATGGATCTTCGTTGTGCGCCTCTCCTATCAGCAAGGTTGAGTCTTTCATCTCGAACCCCAGATTGGGTCGTTGAATCTCGTGCTTGCCTAGAGTTCCTGACTCGTTCTTCACGAATATGTTCAGGAACCCTGGAATCTTCAATGGATCTTCGTAGTGAGCCTCTCCTATCATCAAGGTTGAGTCTCTCATCTCGAACCCGAGATTGGGTCGAAGAATCTCGTGCTTGCCTAGAGTTCCTGACTCGTTCTTCATGAATCTGTTCAGGAACCCTGGAATCTGCAACGGATCTTAGTTGTGAACCTCTCCTATCAGCAAGGTTGAGTCTCTCATCTCGAACCAGAGATTGGGTCGTTGAATCTCGTTCTTGCCTAGAATTCCTGACTCGTTCTTCACGAATATATTCGGGAATCCTGGAATCTTCAACGGATCTTCGTTGTGAGCCTCTCCTATCAGCAAGGTTCAGCCTCTCATCTCGAACCCCAGATTGGGTCGAAGACGCTCGTGCTTGCCTAGAGTTCCTGACTCGTTTTTCACGAATCTGTTCAGGAACCCTGGAATCTTCAACAGATTTTCGTTGTGAGCCTCTCCTATCATCAAGGTTGCGTCGCTCATCTCGAACCAGAGATTGGGTCGTTGAATCTCGTGCTTGCCTAGAGTTCCTGATTCGTTCTTCACGAATATGTTCAGGAACCCTGGAATCTTCGATGGATCTTCGTTGTGAGCCTCTCCTATTAGTAAGGTTGAGACTCTCATCTCGAACCCCAGATTGGGTCGTTGAATCTCGTGCTTGCCTAGAGTTCCTGACTCGTTCTTCACGAATCTGTTCAGGAACCCTGGAATCTTCAACGGATCTTCGTAGTGAGCCTCTCCTATCATTAAGGTTGAGTCTCTCATCTCGAACCAGAGATTGGGTCGTTGAATCTCGTGCTTGCCTAGAGTTCCTGACTCGTTCTTCACGAATATGTTCGGGAATCCTAGAATCTTCAACGGATCTTCGTTGTGAGCCTCTCCTATCAGCAAGGTTCAGCCTCTCATCTCGAACCCCAGATTGGGTCGAAGACGCTCGTGCTTGCCTAGAGTTCCTGACTCGTTCTTCACGAATCTGTTCAGGAACCCTGGAATCTTCAATGGATCTTCGTAGTGAGCCTCTCCTATCATCAAGGTTGAGTCTCTCATCTCGAACCCGAGATTGGGTCGAAGAATCTCGTGCTTGCCTAGAGTTCCTGACTCGTTCTTCATGAATCTGTTCAGGAACCCTGGAATCTGCAACGGATCTTAGTTGTGAACCTCTCCTATCAGCAAGGTTGAGTCTCTCATCTCGAACCAGAGATTGGGTCGTTGAATCTCGTTCTTGCCTAGAATTCCTGACTCGTTCTTCACGAATATATTCGGGAATCCTGGAATCTTCAACGGATCTTCGTTGTGAGCCTCTCCTATCAGCAAGGTTCAGCCTCTCATCTCGAACCCCAGATTGGGTCGAAGACGCTCGTGCTTGCCTAGAGTTCCTGACTCGTTTTTCACGAATCTGTTCAGGAACCCTGGAATCTTCAACAGATTTTCGTTGTGAGCCTCTCCTATCATCAAGGTTGCGTCGCTCATCTCGAACCAGAGATTGGGTCGTTGAATCTCGTGCTTGCCTAGAGTTCCTGATTCGTTCTTCACGAATATGTTCAGGAACCCTGGAATCTTCGATGGATCTTCGTTGTGAGCCTCTCCTATTAGTAAGGTTGAGACTCTCATCTCGAACCCCAGATTGGGTCGTTGAATCTCGTGCTTGCCTAGAGTTCCTGACTCGTTCTTCACGAATCTGTTCAGGAACCCTGGAATCTTCAACGGATCTTCGTAGTGAGCCTCTCCTATCATTAAGGTTGAGTCTCTCATCTCGAACCAGAGATTGGGTCGTTGAATCTCGTGCTTGCCTAGAGTTCCTGACTCGTTCTTCACGAATATGTTCGGGAATCCTAGAATCTTCAACGGATCTTCGTTGTGAGCCTCTCCTATCAGCAAGGTTCAGCCTCTCATCTCGAACCCCAGATTGGGTCGAAGACGCTCGTGCTTGCCTAGAGTTCCTGACTCGTTCTTCACGAATCTGTTCAGGAACCCTGGAATCTTCAACGGATTTTCGTTGTGAGCTTCTCCTATCATCAAGGTTGCGTCGCTCATCTCGACCCAGAGATTGGGTCGTTGAATCTCGTGCTTGCCTAGAGTTCCTGATTCGTTCTTCACGAATATGTTCAGGAACCCTGGAATCTTCGATGGATCTTCGTTGTGAGCCTCTCCTATTAGCAAGGTTGAGACTCTCATCTCGAACCCCAGATTGGGTCGTTGAATCTCGTGCTTGCCTAGAGTTCCTGACTTGTTCTTCACGAATCTGTTCAGGAACCCTGGAATCTTCAACGGATCTTCGTTGTGAACCTCTCCTATTAGCAAGGTTGAAACTCTCATCTCGAACCCCAGATTGGGTCGAAGAATCTCGTGCTTGCCTAGAGTTCCTGACTCGTTCTTCACGAATCTGTTCAGGAACCCTGGAATCTTCAACGGATCTGCGTTGTGAGCCTCTCCTGTTATCAAGGTTGCGTCGCTCATCTCGAACCCCAGATTGGGTCGAAGAATCTGGTGCTTGCCTAGAGTTCCTGACTCCTTCTTCACGAATCTGTTCAGGAACCCTGGAATCTTCGACGGATCTTCGTTGTGAACCTCTCCTATCAGCAAGGTTGTGTCTCTCATCTCGAACCAGAGATTGCGTTGAAGAGTCTCGTGCCTGCCTAGAGCTCCTGACTCGTTCTTCACGGATCTGTTCAGGAACCCTGGAATCTTCAGAAGACATTTTTCGTTGAGGGTTTCTTGTATCAACAGAAGTGAGCCTTTCATCTCGCACTCGAGATTCCATCCTTGAGTTTCGTTCTTGCCTAGATTCCCTGAAACGATCTTCAAGAATTTCTGCAGGCATCCTGGAATCTGCAATGGACATTCTTCGTTGTGAGTTTCTCCTATCAGCAAGGGATTTGCCTTGCCTAGACTCCCTGGATCGATCTTCTCGGATCCGTTCAGACATTCTGGAATCTTCCAAAAGCTGTAAACTATTCCTATCAACCATGTTACGCTCTTCTCTATACAGTTTGGCATCATCCAAGGATGAAGTTCGTTGTAGATTCCTATCATTAGGTTCTGAAGATACAATTCTTTTTTCTGTATACCCTATGGAACGTTTGATCGAAACACCTCTTTCAGAAGGTCCAGATAGTTGATCAGGAGGATTATCTCGTAATGCTGAAGACCTTGTATCGGCAAAGTTTGAAATCCTCCTCAAAGATTCAATAAACTCTCTAGAATCTTCTCTGATAGTGTCAAGTTTATGAGGTTTGCGAGAGTATCTGACAGTTCCTCTATCAGATTTTTCATGTATTGCAGGATCTCTTGCATCTACGAGTTGTCGAGTTGACCTGATATGTCGTGGGGATGAAGTACCACGACCCGTAGTTCTAGTTCTAGCAGTTCTCGAAGAGTCTTGGATGTTGACAAGCCGAGTCCTGGATCCTCGGACATTGCTCCTTTCCAGGTATGCAGCTTCACGTTTCAAAATGGAGTCCAGAGTACGTCTCTCGAATATTTTTTTTTCCGCAGATCTTCGATCTTCAGTTGACGTTCTAAATGAGTTATCTTCAGATACTCTTCCAACTTCTTGGAGACGGAATTGTCTTATATTTATTCTGGAGGTGTCGAGTTGTTCTTCGGTGCTGAAATAAAAAAAGGCAGGAGGTTTATATAAAAGAAAATTTTTAGTTGTTCCAAAAATTATAAAAATACTTTTCGGATGATAGGGAATTATTGAAACACTCACAAAAATGTTTTCTGAGTTTCCCAATAAAACGGCTGGCGGTATAAGAAATCAGTGGATCCGAGCTTTTCTCTTGAACCACTAACAAGAAACGAAACCAGAAAGGACTTTTTGGATTTCCGAATGCCACATTGACTGCACTATTATCTAAATGTATATTAACTGCATCAAAGCAGCCAAACAATGACAGTAACGCACATGGTTGCCACATTAATTAAAACTACGGGATCCTAGGAAATACACCACAAGATCAATAAGCATCTGAATTCTGAAAACTAACTGTTGAAGAACTCGTCAAAGTAGTTTAGAATATAAAAGCTCGTAATATAATGTCAGCAAGACATTAGTAGTTACACAGGTTTTTTTTTAATTCTTCAACATGTTAATACACAATAAATCCTTCATTACATGAGTCAACCATTCATCAATATGTAGTACTAGGAATTTAGCAGGTTGAAGTGATTCAATGTTATGTTTTCGCAAAATGATAATCATAGACTGTGATTTATTATCGTTGAGGGTTAGATTATTTGATGTACGCCGGGTTTTCAATTTACTTGTCAAGCTTTGATCTAAGAGGCTTCAGTTAATGTATGACTATTAATAATTGTTGTGTCATCAGCATAAATTATGAGGTTATTGGTTGAACTTCAGTTAGGTAAATCATTAATATATATCAGGAAAAGAGCTGGCCCAAGAATTGTGCCCTGTGGGAGTCCACTATGCACTGGTAGTTGTGAGAAGACTCAACCGCTGGTGTTTTCCCAGCACAATTCGAATAAAGCCAAACGTCCATTGTACCTTGTATCTCTATGAGCAATGGATCCAGTCCTGAAGCTGCGTTTATCGTAGATGTGTTGGGACAGTCCGCGTTCCTGGCCATCATTGGAGGGCTTCAGATTTCGGTGGGTTCTTGCTTGGTTTCGTTGCAAATGAGCTTCCCCGTTGGTTGATTCCCCCCCGTAATCCCTCGCTCTTTCGACGAAGCTCTCGACGCTTGTCAAACATATCAAGAATATCAAAACTGCCTTGCCTGGAAGAGAAAGTAAAATACAACTGGAATCGCTGATAATGATCATGTGTAATGAATAGTATCTCAAACATTCACGATGATTGCGGCTTAAGAAAATTGCACTGGTCACACGGAATTTAATGCTTCTTTATAACCAAACAATACACGCAGACACCACAAAAACTTAACAGGAATTTTATCAATTGTTGTTCATGTCAAGATAAATCGATACGTTAGAAAATTCTTGAGTTCTAACCCTGTATTAATGTTTCCAGCGTAACAAGAATTAGAATGGATAAAACGCATCCCACTTCGTAATTTTTTGTCGACTTACCGGTGATTTTTTTCTTTGACTGTAACATGGTGGTTGGAGACACAAACTGAAAATTTTTCTGCTGCTCACTGTGACTTGTGTGGTATTCACTGGTATACTGAAGTTACTGCGCGGAGTTCAGCCCTTCGGTCGGTATTTATACCTTGCGACTTGCGAGTTAATTTCATAGCCGGTTAAGCTTGAACGGAATAAGTGTGGTGACGAAATTCAATTTTCAGCCGACTTGTTGAATTGAGAATCGAACGGGGTTGTGCCGGAAGCTATCGGTTTTTCTGATACGCGCTCTGCTACGCTGCTGAAAATTCGTGTTTACATACTGTGGAGTCGCAATAAATATACTAAGTGACATATAAATCCGAACACCCAGTTTAAATGGTTTTATTTTAATAAAATTTTGTACAAGTACTTAATGAAGCATAATAAGTAAATGATAAAAATTTCAAAATGATTGCACTGCTTTAAAGCCCTTTGACCTTTAATAATGTGTGGATGCACCCTGATGTGCTACGCATTCTCCAACGCGCCTAGGCATGCTTCTGATCAGGTGGTCAATGTCCTCCTGTGGTATCTCATTCCAGGTAACCACTAACTCCTCTCGAAGTGGTTCCAGAGTCTGAGGAGGACGTTGCAAATTGAGCAATCTCCTACCCATCATATCCCACACGTGCTCAATTGGGGATAAGTCGGGAGATCTTGGTGGCCATGGTAACAATGTGACATCATTATGTTGAAAGAAGTCTATTGTGACTCTTGCAACATGTGGTCGGGCAATATCTTGTTGGAAAGTTGGATCTACCAGGGTGTCAAGATAGGGTAAAAGATGGGGTTCTAGAACTTCGTGGATATAACGCCATTCATATTACCTCTGATGAAGATTAAAGGTGACCTGGAACCATAAGCTATAGCACCCCAAACCATAACTCCAACAGTGTGATGAACATGTCTTTCAACAAAAAACTGTGGATTCCTCCTTTCACCACGTCGCCTTCTAACCCTGGCACGACCATCGTGCATGCCTTAACAAAATCGAGACTCGTCACTAAAGACAATACTGTTCCATTCCTGATCCCAGAGTGACCGTTGTCTGCACCACTCAAGGCGATTACGTCGGTGTTCTCGAGTTAAAGGGAGGACCCAGTGTGAAAACAAGCCAAAACTTCTCATTCGTCGGTAAACACTTCGCATGCCAATAGGTCTTCCGTGTTCTGCAAACCTTTCATTTGCAATGGACCTGGTAGTGAAGAAACGGTCCCTTAAGGTTTACCTTTGTTAAAATGTTATCTCTTAGTTTTTGTGAAGAAATACAGATATTTTTAGTTATTGCCCTTTCATTTGCTAGTGTCGAGAATAACAAAATGCCTCGAGTTCCAAGTCGTCCAAATTTACTTAATTGTACTGCAATGACGGTAATGCGTGTATGTGTCGTGTGTGGATAGAAGAAGGTAGAGGAACACGAGGAAGGCCGACTGGTCTGCCGAGGCGTACCAAGATTCTTGCTACTACGCGTCAGATCGCTGACCAATGGCTTGTAGAGGAAAGTAGACCTGTTACAATGCGTACAGTCAATCGCCGCATCCGAGCGTCTGAACTTTTTCCAGAACGTCCACGGTTAGTGCTACCTCTGACTGCGGACCACTATCGCCAACCTCTGAACTGGAGCAGAGAATGGCAACGTCGCGAGGCAGAATGGCCTAATGTCGTCTTCAGCGACGGATCGCGATTCTGTCTAGGTACGAACGATGGAGAACGGCGTGATATTGGATTTGCTGTTGAGAAGCATGTTGTTCAAGGCAATACGACCACCGCTTATTATTATTATTATTTTTTATCGACTCTAGGCAGATAACCCTGTATAGAGAAGTGTAGGTGTTGAACTTTTACCAGTGTATCTGCGAAGACGAATAGGGTAGCATGTGGTGCAGGGTGAGTGGTTAAACGCAGATAAGGACAGTAAATTATTGCACGGGTGACACCATATGAGCAGCAACTAGATACGATTTCCATTACATTTCTCTAAAGCGTATGGGATATCGATCGTCGAAGGTTATTTTTGGACTGTGAATGGGCAAGATGAAGTTCATTGCTGCTCAAAGTTCACAGCATAAAAATAAGTGTTTAACGTAGATCAGCCGTTTGAACGTTTTCGACTGGCCCTTGAGGAAGTGAAAAAAGGCACGAGGACTCGAGTCAGGCTAATACGGAGGCCGAAAGGTCACAGGAACTCGTTTATTGGTATTGCTGAGAGGACTCAAGTCAGTTCAAACTTGTACTGAACGCGGATCACCTGTTCCTCTGTCTCCCTCCGGCGCGTCCAGCGTTGCCAGATCGAATGCTACGTTGCCAGACTCATCATTCGATTTACAGACCTCGTCTGTCTTCTACAGGGTGTCCCAAAATTTTTTCAGATATTTTTGGAATCGATAGTCCGATTTGAATGAAATTTGGAACACGTGTTTTGCTAGATATCATGATAGTCAAGTCTTACAAAAAACTCGGGAAGGTTGGAGAAGGGTGAGAACTACCCTCACCCATACATAAATTATAGCAGAATTTTTTGGCAGGAACATGTTTTTCGGAGCTAGTGTGAAATATGAAAAAATGTTTAACTTTGACATCTCGCAGCTCCGCCATTTTTGAAGCTATTTAGATAAATCTTGGCTCACAAAAATTTAATTATCATCGACTTTAAGCTGATCTAAAAAACATGCTAAAATATCTTCCTTTTTATACAGGATGTCTCAAAACGCAAAATGTAAAACGCTTTTTTTCATGAATTTCAAATTGAGCACCCTGTATAACAGTTTTTGAGTTATTGCTATTAGTTGAAAGAAAAAGAATACATTACACATTAAGACTTAAAATCAGATCGTCCTTGGAAAGAATGAAGTTCTTCACATATCGACAGGATATCATTGTCTGATAATATTGTCCATTTTTTTGATAAGCAGTGGGCTCATGACATTAACGTACAATAACTTAATGTGGACACGAAATTTGAACTCGGTAGCATTGACATTTTTCGATCAAGTATGGAAATAACAATTTTACCAAAAAAAAAAATCCAATCAGCGGCCACGGCATAAGAAAACGCTACCATCCACCTTAAATAATAAGAAGCATGGGAATCTTTGTTTGTAAATCATTTTTTTCTGATTCATCAGCAAGTGGAAAACAATGAAAATTTATGTATTTTGACGTCATAAAAGAAAAAACTATATTCATGCTCGTTAACGATAAAAATGATTCCAATGAATAAGTCAGAGGATGATATGAACAAAACACCAAACCTGTTTATATAAATTATTTATTTAAATTTAAAAGAACATAGTATCATAATACATACAAGAGCTTATAACGATAATAACAACTACGACTAGCTAGGTGAAGAGATAGAGGTACAAACACCTATTTATACAAATAAAATTCACAGATAAATCTATTATAACATTAATATAAGTCTATACAGAGTAAAATGTACAGAGTAATTCAAATCCGACTATACCAGTTTTATTCTTTAATTCTCCGATTCTTCTGGGTTAAAGTCGAGAGAGGATAATACGCCTCACAGTCCGAAAAAGTGGCCAAAACCAGAAAAATTCACTAAATTTCACCAAAAAGCTCCATAACCCTTTGGAGATCGCTGATAACGAATATGATATCCATTTATCAAATATCAGAATGACGGATCAAATTCGGCGGACATGTTTTCAAAGAAGCATTTTATGGATATAAATCACTCTGTACAACATTTTTTTATATGCGAAAAAACTGAACTTCGCCTTGATACAATAATATATGTAATGCGCTTGGTTTCACACACACACATCTTTGAACAGAATGTTTTTTTGACCTTGAGTGCATTCTTTTTTTTTTTTCTATATTCCCATCTATGGCACTTTTTCAACGATTCCTCAAAGTTGCATACTTGAAGCATTGGCGTAGATAAAAAGAATAACAAGGAATTACATTTTTTTTGTCGATTACTTTTCGCGTAATTGTTATTTTATTATCAGTTTCAGCCGCTCAAGCAAAAAATAATTTTCCATCTACACCTATGACCTCAAATCACTTCAATACAAACAACGATTATGTGTTATAACATTTTTCTATAATAACCTTGGGATATAGTTTTCTTCGCAAATAAACAGGTATTCGAATGCAACTAGCTGCAAATTAGCGACTGCTGAGTAAATTTTGTTAAATGACCGCACGTTTAATTTTTCTCTTATCGCCCATCAGTTAGATAAGTGTCGCTAATCGAAGGTGGCGTGTCTAACGACGCTTGTTTCGATGTTTTTCACAAAGTATCACAAACATACATATACATAATACATTCATGAAGCATACAGGGTGTCCAAACGGAAACGGAGAAGATATCTAAAATCTGTCTTCGTGGCAACCTTGATATGTTACTAGTGCATATTTCCAAATTATTTTGATATATGCAATAACAAACATGTAATAAAGACATGCTAAAATATGCTTCTATTTATACGCAAAATATATGTTTTCTCAAAAATTTCAAAGGAAACACCCTGTATATTTTAACATTGTCAAATAGCTTTCTTTGGGATTTTTTTAATGTCTATATTATATTTTTCTCTAACAGTTTTTGAATTAGTGCTATTAATTAAAAAAAAAGATACGCATATTCCAGAGCGTCTTAAAACAAGAAGTACCCTGTATATTTTTTGATTTATTATGTGGATTAGGGGTCCATCTTATACAAATCGTATAACGTTCCGCTAATTTGAGGGATATTCCAGAAGAAATGGACTATACTGAGACATTAAAATTCTCAATACGCGATTCCAATCAATAACGAACTCTTATTGAAACAAACTCAGCGTCTTATCAGTTTGTGAACTTTGAGCTTACGACGTATCACCGCACCACTACGATTACCTTTCCTGTAACACACCGCATCACAGTTTCTCACACCGCAAGCAAAGACGCCGCAAAAATCACACTGAGGAACAGAGACATCTGTCGAGCACTTCCAGAACTTGGCTTCTCGGTTGTCGATGTTGTCGACTGACTCTGACTCGCACCGGCGTGCTCGCGGTCCATCTGGTCGTGGTCAGTGTGACCATGATCTTTATGGTCTTCATGGGTTTGGTCGTGGTTCATTTCCCCTTGATCCGATTGCATTTGGTGGTCATTATCGCTGTGATCCATGGTGGTCGGCATCGCTGTTGTGGTTTGGTGGTCTTTGGTCGGCTCGAAGTGGGGTGCTAGATTCGGGTCCTGGTCGGAACCTGGAAGGACCTGAAACGAGTACAATAACAGATGATTAAATACGATCTTGTTTATCAAAATATGTGCAGCGAAAGGGTGAATATTGCTCGTACTACTCTTAGTGGATCCCCCATGAAATTGAACGAGACTATTTAAAAAAAAATACCGTACCTGCGGTTCTGGCAGTTTCTCAGTATTCGCCGCTAGCGTAGTAGTAGTCAAATTCATCTCAGGACTGTAATCGTACACCTCGTCGTACAAGTAACTCTTCCTATCAACTCTGGCAGTGATCAGCCTGAAATTAACCTGCTCCAGGTTCAACTTTCCGTAGATGAACTCGTTCAGCCGGTTCACCAGCACCGTGATGTTCCCCGATTGGTCAAAAGCGAAGCTGTTCGGCCATTCTAGGTACTTCTCGTCCTTGGCGATGATCTTCTGGCCGGATAGGAACGGCTGGCGAGTGTCCCATTTTGCAATGCTGTTCGTTGCTAGCAGCGTGTAGTAAAGGGTGCCTTGGTTGTCCATAGTCATACCTACAGTAAAACAGTTGCGATTTTACAAAGGCCGCATGTGGAGGGACGACGCGACGGTCGTGTTGCTGATATTTGCCTGAAGTACTGCAACCCGCGTTGCGCTAGCATGGTTGGCGGGTTGCAGGCACGTAGGATACTATATGACGAATACTTTTGAAACTAGATGGGTCTCATAAAATAGGGCTGAGTATGAGCATCGCGTTCGCTGGTTAGGTTCAATTTGATGCATGAGAGGTATATACAAGGTATCCAAAAAGTATCTCGGAAACTAGAAGCTAGAAGCTTCAAATACAAAAGTTTCAGGAAGTTAAATGGCGCATCTTGGAGTTGACGTTTCACCTTGAAGGTCATTTCAAGGGCAAGTTGCAACGCCCATTTTTTATTGCAGTAAGAGGCGATAAAATTGTTGCTAGAATAAGAACATTCTAAGGAGGCCTATGCGACAAGCATCACATTTAAAAATAAAACTAAATAACTTTTTTTCCAAGATACCATCGAGATTTTGGACTATCCTGTACTATGCTATGAATACATACACTTGTTTGTGTTCGCCAGCATTGCCAAAACATGGCGAGAATACAAATTTTGGAATGAAAAAAGATTCGTCGAGAGCATCATCTTTTCATGTGTTCAAAACGTGTATAAATTGAAGCTCTTACCAGCAGTTTGCGAACTTTTGATGCCATGATCTTTAACTTCTCCCTGGTACTCCCCTCCTTTGAATCCGTTCATTTCGTTCCTGAGCACTGTCGTGCCGATCGAGTATACGTGTAGGCTTGACATCGGGCAATAGTACAACTAGAAGTGGAAAAAAATATATGGAATATCATCACCGATTGCAAATAAATAAAGAGGAACGGTTTAAACTGTAAGGTTTAAGAAGAATCATCGAATGATGACCTTGAAGGTCAAGACAGATGTATAAGAAGATTCAATGACTTTTCTGGAGTTGCAGTTTAAACTTCCAAATCCTACCTCTCTTTCTTCGCTAACAACCACTCCTTCTTTCTGCTGCCTGACTCTAGGCCCTAAGGCGATGCCTGCGACGTTGATGGGCGCCGAGACGGTGACGCTGTTCACTCTGAAAGCGGAAGCGGTCTTGTCGGCGTGCATTGTGGCGCTGTGACGGATTTTCCAGCTGTGGTGTTGCTTCAACGAGAAGACTATCAGACCTGCGACAAGGGAGCATACCTTGAGAATAGATTTTGAGCATCTAGTTTTTTACAATTCATAAGTAACTAACTCCAAAATGGAAGCGCCCTTTTCTTGGATATGCAGGGTATATTATTTAATAAAGACGTTTATTATTACTATTACTAGGTACCAAACACTAATTGCAAAAAATCAGCTATTCTATCGAATGAAAGTCAGTCTTCAATAGCATCTAACAACCATATGCATGTTGTTAAATTCTCAAAAAGACACGCACGGTACATTTGATTCTTCAAACACAAAGGAAACGATTATACATTCTCACCGATTGATAAAAGTCCGATTCGCATGAAAGAAACATCTCAGATCGTTGCTGACATATGCTAAGCGCAACTTGTTCTGCGAATAGTTTGAGGTCACTAGTGCATTGGGTGGGACGATATAGCAAACATTAATTTCTAATTTGCATTTTCGCAGCAGTATTGCACAAGAACGGTAACGATTGTACTTCCCTGGGGCGTGAGAAAATCATTTGTCGATATTGCATCTACAATATCAAAGGTTGCGATCCGGATTTGATAGTAAATGTAAAATTTGTTGAAGATCGTTAATCTGATTTCTGACAGGTGCAAGGTGCATTTGATCGTAACCTTTCCTATATTATCATTAATTTCGAACACACTCTTCTAATCGATGTTGTTTATTTCTCGTCGAATGTTGTCTTTAAGCTCCTACAGTGTTCGTGGATTATTGGAATACACTTTTCACTTTAGATAACCCCCACAAAAAATAATCGCATGGCGTGAGGTCGGGTGACAAATATAAAACCGAAAGCACGGACACATTGGGTTTGTATTTGTAGCAAGTGCCCTTATCCACGCTTTCGTTTTGGCTGCAACCTCAGCGGCGAGTAAGTTGCCTGATAATTTAAACCCTTCCCGTATTGGTGGCTAGCTTCATATTTATGTTTTCAGCTCCTGAAGATGATTCCACAGCTATTAACAGTTTGTGAACGAGACTTTTGAAAATAACCGATATGGCGCAGCTTTCGATCGCGTTCAACACGAAATCCTGTTGGAAAAGTTTCATTTTTATTACTTTCATGAAGCATCCACTGCAATGATTAAGGTCGCTGCTCACGGGGTACCGCAAGGCTCGGTATTAAGACCTATTCTATTTTTAATTCACGTAAACGATGTGACTATCCACAATGTGAATAATAACTTAATCCTATTCGCTGATGACACTACCTTGGTGAATACCCATGCCTCTTCAACTTCATCGATATCAGACTGTATCTGGTTTTATTGAATGATAATGTGTCATAACACGCTGGTGTACCTAACACAAATAAATAATTGAATTGATAAGAAGCTTTTAACACTGAATAAGCACAGCTGTGGATACATGGTCATGGAATGTTAGGCGTTCGTCAAATATTGTTCAAATGCACGATGGCGATTAAACTGTCTCGGGGCAGAGCTTCGAATGAGACTACTGGTTTCCATTTCATCAAGTATACAGTTGGAGACTTGAATGCCGCATCAGACAAGATACCTACCATGTATACGTTACGTTTTCGCAGTCAATTAGAAACTGTCGCTAGGAAATTATATTTAGTTTTATTGAATGTAAATATCCGTTACTACGTAATTTTGCGATAAAAACCAATTGAGGTCTATAAAGATGGTAGACAGTTAAGGTCGCATCTCGTCACTCGTCTGTCGATGAAAAAATCGCAATAATTTGTGTACAAGTTGTAAAGAAATTTATGATACGACCTTGGCGATGTTTATATTTGCCGATGATGCTATGGTTGCCGGGGGAATAGCTTTTGTTCTGTGAATCAACTGAAAAGACAATGTTTATGAAGCATTTCACATAGTATATTTTTGGATCTTATCTGTATACGTGTGAGATCTGGAAAAGTCGTCTTTTCCTTGTCGAGGTAAAAAGACAGCTAGAAGACTGTTTAAAGCATCAATATTAAACGTTTCAGACGCTTTTGAATAAGAACTTGTTTCTGCAGCGATTAATGATAATACCATTCGTGTAAAGAATATCTGCTTTAGTGATGAATGCACATTTTATCTAAATGGATTTGTTAATAAGCATAACTGCAGGTATTGGAGCAATGAAAATCCTCATGCTTTTGTAGAAGGGCCATACCCAGCATTTTAGGCAAAGTGGTTGGTTTTTGATAATTCCGTGGTGGACAGTTTCCAAATGAGCATCCTGTATAACATCTAAAAAACATAATACATCTTCGAAATGTCTAGAAATGACAATACTTCCTCGCCTACTTTGCTTTGCAAGAAAAAAGGAACAACAAAATAATCGTATTGGGACAACGAAACAGACGCATGTACCTGCAGCTCAGTTTTTTTTTTTGGAAAAACGCTCGGACCCGTCGATTTTGTTTTCGAGGGGGACACAAGTCTGGCAAAAAATCACGTTAGCACGTGCAGCCCCCTGGGCGGGGGTGACACCAACCCTAAAATCTTAAATGGAAAGGGGGGTCGAGTGATACCTTGTTTTAAAGGTCCTTCAATTCCCTTTATAATGATGTAAAATACATGAGCTTCAGTTCAGTAGTTTTGAAGATTTAATGAAGCTTAAAGTAGACTTTAATAGGTACGTCAGATTAGTTTGTACTACTTTCAGAAGCAATTTGACTAAAAGAATTTACTTAATAAGTAAATGCTTTTCTCCACTACGCTCATGATTTGTTTATCATTTTGTTGTTGAAAATAGCTATTGGGACGTTTTTTGTGGCAAAAAAGTTATTTCTTGAAGAAATATACTTATTTTAAATAGGAATTTAGTATATAGTTTGCGATTGGTTTGACCAAACTTTGTTGCTAAAATAACTTGTAACGCTTTTCGATGCGGCCAGCCTGTGTTTTTTTTTTCATGTTCGTTAGATGTCATTAAGAATTTGTTTGTGTTTGTAATGACTCCTATTTTATTTATTTGTTTATTATTTATTATCTCAATTACTGTTTTAATTAACTACCTGTTCTTTTTTGCATATCGCATACTTATGTATTGTATATGTAATGTTGACAAGTCTTATGTCATGGCTATTTGTGACCAAAAGACAATAAAGACTATCTATCTATCTATAAAAAACTCTGAACAATCTAATTCTTCATTTTTGCCAAAATAGCCCCATTTCGCTCCGGTGCATGACAGAAAATAGACTAACGGTTTCTTCTAATCGCTCCGAAGCGAATCTAGTTGCCTTTGCCGGCTGTCTGCGATCACGCACCGTGAACTATCCGTTATCTTCATTTGTTTTAGCATCGTCGCATCTGACTGCCGCCGTAGCTTACTCGATGTTGTCGGTGCGTTTTTCTGCATACTCTCTTTGCACCGTTTTCGAGTCTGTTTCGACAAGCCGATTGCTGCTATCTCGCGAAAAAATGGTTTCGAAGAATATAGGATTACAATGCAATATATTCGTCATTCGTACATACAGGGATCAGTGCCAAGAGATTATATGTCAAAGGGGACATTAAAGAAAAACACTGTTTGTAGATGTACCATTCTCTTCAGCCTATTGTAAACCTAGCTCAAAGACGTTAATTGCATGTACAAAGCTTCTTCCACTTCTGGATGTTCAGCTTTCTTGAGTGTCTGTCTCTTGCCTGGCCCGCAGTCAGTAGTTGACTTCTTGATCTTCTTGTGGTTTCTTTTAATGTCATAAATTGTATATCGGCCTACGCCGTATTCACTTGCTAAACTACTGAAAGTTTCATTGCGATTTAAGCGGCCTAATATATGACATTTTTCTTTAATTTCGATGTTTTGTGCTTTCGCTTCTGAGTTTGTGATGACATCACTAGGTACTATACTTAATACACAATGAATAAATAGTAAACAATGAACGCACGCTAGGCCGTACCGCTATCACCAGTAGTCAAATTCAAACTAAGTAAAACAATGTCGAGCACGATAGCGGGGCGCGTACATTAGTGAAGATTGTCAAATACGTATGTATGTAATACATTTTCAAATACATGTCGGATTACAGGGGGCGCCGGATTATCGGGGGTCCGCTGTATATGTCTTTATTGCAACATTAATATCACACCATAACATTGAAAAGTATGATGCAAATGGCGGAGATTATCCATTGGTCAATCTACTCAAGCTATATTTGGAAAAATATAAAGAAACTCTAATTTATTATATACTATGTACTAGTTCATTCTATTAACACCTTCCTCATTATTTTATTTATTAAAGTCGCTTATATTGAAAGTATCATCTTGTCCGAAAGAACTTTTATGCAAAGTATCATTCGCAGGGAAAACGATCGCGGAAATATAAAATCGCATTGCCAACGCGTACTTGATGAATGAACTTGAGATGCGTTAGCAATGTTGTCCTTTTTTATGGATAGTGAAAATAGAAACCGGGTGATACCTTGGACCGGCGAGCGATTGAAGGCGGTATCTGACTTCTTAGGTAATACCACAATATTTATAAGGCAAATACGTATGCAACAGAGGATTTGTTCTGACAATAGTATGCGTAATCGGTGTTGTGTGCAAAGCGCGCTTGATTTTCAAGGACAGAGTCCGGCTTCCATCTTCTCAATCGGAATGTAAATGAGGATTAAGGCGGCTCCGGCGCAGTGAGTTTCAAGCCATTTAAGGGTTCAGCTGCTTCGGAACTGACACTCCATTTTTCGATATTTTTGAATGAAATTCATACAGTATGCTTAGAAGATAATTGCCCAGGGTGCTATAGGAGCACTTTTTGAAATTTTGTTCTTGCACAAGTTTTATGATGGGTTGAAGTGCGTACTTTTTCTGTTCAACTTCGCGATTTTTTTAAAAAGAACCTAGTGAAAAAATGAAAGTGGCTCTATAGCAACTCAAATCTTATTTTGGACGAATTTTGTCTACCGTTTGGTGCTGCCAACCCAAGCGTTGCGGCCGCAATGTACGGACTAAGCAAGGACGTATTCAGATAATTTGGTGGCCCTATTTGCATATAATATCGCGTAGAT